TGTTGGAAGAGCCTGAGACTCAATATTTTAATAGCTAAAACGTCACTATAGCTGTGCATATGACAAATAAAGCCTTTGAATTATTTGTAATTCCTTCAATCAATTCACACTCTCAGCAGTGGACGGTGCCCCAAAGCAGTGCCATCAAAAACGTGGGATACATTTAAAACTGGGCAAATAACTACTTCACATGTCCTGATTTACTCCTAAACTGTAATGACACTGTGAGGCTCATGCATTGGTGGTTTGACCACATTCTCAGACAACACAACAGGAAGGAACTTCAGTTTCTGTGATTTCCATCATTTTCTTGCAGACAGTGTTGCCTTTCAAACTGATTTGAACACAAATAAGTCCTCTCTGGAGGATCTCTCTGTTTTAAGTCACTTTAAAGTCACTTTAGGACCATCTGTTACCCAACATTTTTACCCACGTTTTTTTAGAAAGAAATGTGTCTTTTTATGTTGCCTCTAGAATCTGCAAATTGACAGTCTGGTTTGGTTTTATACACAGCACTGACACTGCTCTGGTCAAAGGTCAAAGTCAGCATTGGCTTACTGTTTGCTACCATCAGAGAGCTGTAGAAATGAGTCCCAAAACACAGAAATTAGTTAGAATTTCCACTTCCGGTTCCCTCATTTCAAAGTCAATACAAGCAATGAAGTATATAAGTATTATAAACATGTGTTTGCCACAGATCTTATTTACTGCAATTTTCCAAAAAGCAATATAGTATCCCATGGCTTTTTGTGGAGGGAGCCCTTGATATGCTACACTTCCAGGTCGGCCTCCACAAATACGTCTTCACTGCACCACTCTGTAGAGGCCTGTATCCATTCTAATGTTCCTTGACTGCTAACCCCTTGACACAGTGCAGCATTCTGGATCTTTTTCTGGTCCAATGGGCCAGAGACGTCCAAATCCTGCAACTTGTACAAAACACTGCCAGGTTTTTAACAGAAGTTACTACATCATATCAATCCTTGCTGCCCTTCACTTGTTACCTACATATGTGTAACATGTTCGTTTTTACTACTCTTTGTTAAAGCCTTGCATGCCTAAAATCTCTGTGAGCTGAACACTGCTGAGGTCCTCTGGCAGGGCCGTACTGATTGTTCCCAAATCTTAACTTTCATCGGGAGGGACAGCCTTTACTTTCCCGGCAGCTCAGGCAGGCTGACATTGTTTCCTCTTTTAAATCTCTAAAACTATTTTATTTTATTACGTTCCTTACTCCAGGCACGGGATGAACTATGGATGTATTTATTATTTGGCTGTGGTTGAGATATGGAATATGATATTAGATGTGTTGAGAGAATCCATAACTCTTAAACAGAGTCCCGACACACAGTGCGCTCTCACCTGTGGCCCTGCTGTGCTGCTGGCTGCTGTCACAGTGGGGGGGGCTGGAGGGGGCCGGGCTGGATGTTGTCAGGTTATCTGGAGAGGGCTTAATCATTCAATAGGCTATACAGCTACAAAGTGTTTAATATTATTAAATACATAAGTCATTTTAAAATGTTCATATGAATAGATTGTCCTAATATTTTAACAAAACAACAATGTTGCTATGTCAAACATCATTATTTCAGTTAATTATAAACGTATAATATATTCCTAACGATCACCTTTCAGTTGAAACGGTCATTTTAAAGCAAGTCACCTAACCTGCTATCTGGATGGAGACCATGGGGCTGATGGTGTCCGGCGGCTCGGTCATGCAGAAGTAATCCCCGCTGTGGGCCGGGGTGGCAGAGCGGATCCCCAGAACCAGGATCACATCAGGGAGGGCGGAGCTCATGTTGACAAGAGACATTCTCTCCTATGAGACAAAACAGATGTTACTGTAGAGATGCACTTTAGCACCAGACCTGGATGTTTTTTAACATCAAGTAGTTTCAGGGTTCTGTCCTCTGTGGGGGAGGGGTCGTTGTGTTGGAGGGGTCTGATAACCACAGCTCACAAAGCTAGTGTGTAAGGTAAGAAACTAAACCACTTCAGACTGTATGAACCTTTCCTCTGATGATATTTTAGATGGAGGTACACATTGTTAAAAGTGCTCATATTTTTGCTGATGTTTGTGTTGAAAAGCATGTGTTCATGCCGTGTTGATCAGGGATTGGATCTGTCAAGGTCAAATACCATCATTCATGAACACAACGTGCACTTCATTGAATTAAGTAAGTACTACATCGTATTTGATTAATTTGATGTGCTTGCATGATTTTCGCAATTCATCCACATCATTGACTGTAAAACTGTTCTCGACTAAATATTATAAGTCAGCTAACACTTTCTTAAAAAAATGAAATAAGGTAATTTTTTCAACAGATCTGTAAAACAGAGGTTCTTCACAAAGAAGTGTGCGAAATCAACAGTTTAAATGTTTTATTTACTAGACCTGTGCACAAGTTTCTTGTAAAAAAGTCATTTAGCATGAAAAATGTTTTTACAATTCCATTAAAGAAATCTTTGACTAAAACCAAACCAACTCAATATTGGATTAAGAGAGGGCAGACTAGTTGAATACACATATTATAAGTTGCTTTGGACAAAATACAATAAAAATGTAACAATACAAACAACCAAAACTATCAACATCGTCCTTTACAACAGGAGAGCTTATATTGCTGCAACATTTAAAAGTGTTTTGCATAATCAAAAGTAAACTTAATTCATGCCATATTAAATGTCAAGGTCAGAAAACCTCTGCAGAGATGGTATCTCCCTCCTGGGGGGCGCTCCTCCACAGCTGGGCCACATGGTGGGCCCTCAGGCAGGAGAACTCACAGCTCAGGTTGAAGCCCTCTCCAGAGGACAGAAGCCGATCATCTCCGGAAATAATCACAATAGCTCTGCTGCAACCACCTAGAGACGTGACAGAACTCAGACATGAACACAACATCCTTTGTTAAAAATAGTGCACATAAAGACCAAATAAAAGAGTAGACTAAGATGATAAATAAAGAGGCAAGCACACGTTAATAAAATACAAATCTAATAAGTAGATATACAAGGTAGAAACGGTTACTACCAGCATTATAAAAGTGAGTGAACATTGAACATTAATGAAGTAGCAGATAAATAGTATTGCACAGCGTTATTTTACAACAATGATGTAACAAATGATTAAGTAGTCCAATATACAGTTACATATCAATGGGAAGATTGAGAGAAAATATAATACGTTTGCATATACGTAATGAAAGTCGTGTACACGAGGATATCATATTAAGAAAACATTCTGAAATATACTGCATGTGCAATGCATTTTGGGTCAGAGAGTTCTCCTGCACACATACCCTTTGTTACAAGGCTTTTTACATACATAGTGTATCATGGTTTTTCACACATAGTGATCATTACTATGGTTGTACAGCAAATAAAAAGGCCCCCACCAGCAAAAATCGATCGATGACTATGATCTTTACTAATATGGCTGTGCCGCCATTTCTAATTCTTACTAAATCTAATGCAGACAGATAGACTCACATGTTCTAGTTACACTACCACTGATAATAATATGAATAATCCCTGCTCCATAGTTTCTTTATTGAACCAACTTTCACTCTGTTTTCTCCCCTTCAGTAACCCTGAACAATTTGATTTGTACTCACAGTCATTGCATTTACATTTGAATGTATTCTTAAACCCTACAAATTGCACACATGAATTATATATGTATATGATTTTATTTCTACTTTGGTTTAGTATCATTTTAATAAAATGTCCCAACTTGGGATCAATAAGGGACATCTGATCTTATCTTATAATGTGATTTGATTTACAAAGGCTTAACCTTACCTTCAGCAGGACTCAGGTACAGCAGACTCACCAGCAGAAGCAACATGTGTGATTGTCTTCTCATCGTCTCTGTGATCTGTCACTGTGTGAGCACGGCTCTGGATTCACTGTCAGCTATATCTCACACTTACATGAACATACAGTAGAACACTGACAGAAGCTTCTGACGTAGATCTCAGATAGGATGTGCAGCTGATGAAGGCTGTGACAGCCACGACTAACGCTGACCATCACTATAAACCTCCATATATGGTCAATAACTGTTCAAAAATCCCCACATTATAAAAAACGTTAACGCTGATGTTACCACAATGACAGGAAGTCTATAACTGTTATCAATCAAAAAGACAAATGACACCTTGTAACAGGGTAGGTGTAACAGTGTATTTATATGTATTTCATATAGTTTATAGTAGTTTTATTGTACTTTTAATGTCCATGGTAAACCCAGCCAATAAAATTAAAGTAGCATATTATGAGTTTAAAATAAGTCAAACAAGCTATATGACATGACCTTTTTTAACATATGTAATACAATGTTGCTCATTTGGCTTCTGACAGTGCAGTCCATAAACGGAGACATATTTGACACATTTAAAATCAAAGATTTAACAAGAACGATAAAGCTTGAATAGTAGTTTAAACACTATTCACAATATTAACAATTAATTGGGGCTGCCAGACAATCCTTCTTTGCTCAGCTGACCGAACCTTTTTTATAATATTTGTAAGAGCAATTTGATTGAACATGAGTTTATTAAGAGAATATGTAAGGTGAGCACTATAGATTTGGCATCCTTTATAAGATAGGATCACAATGCAGGACATATTTAAGGAGCTATTTCAGTATTCAGTGGTGCAAATTCCTTCAAAAAGGTGCAGTTATTCAAAGTACAGACAACCAGGAAAACTGTTAAAGATCTAGAACCAAATATTACATATGCGGGTAAATAAAATAAAATGCTGGTATACAAAGGTAATACCACATCATATGACTTTCTAGATTGGATACATATATTTAGAAACACCAGAAAAGAGTATGAAAAAAGTGCTGGTGAAAAGCAAAACAGCTCTCCACAAATCAAAGTGTGCGTGACCCCCTCTCACGTAGGCTACACTCACGCACACAGATTTTCTGTTGGTATTCTTCAAAGCAGTTTACGCTCGCCTCCTCCGTTTACTACCGCACTTATCCTCTTCTACGCAAATTGCGTTACGGTCACTAGCGAGGCTTTTCAGCTGGTTAGCCAAACATCCACAGAAAAAGAGATGAGCAGGAAAACGACACGAAGGAAATAAGAACATTTATCCCGAAGTAGACGAATAGCAACAGAAAGAACGTCGGTTTAGGTACGTTTTGTCGTTCTTTGAACTTTTTACATATTGGTTTGTTGAATTAGCTAGCTATGTTTATGAATGACTGTATGTATGGGCAGAAATTCAGCGTTAGCCAACACTGGCTAGTTAGCTAGCTGGCTAACATGTTAGCTTCTACCAGGCTACGTCTTGTTACGACCACAGAGGCTAGTAAAAGCTAACGTTAGCTGGGTAGAGAGCTGTTGATGTGGTCCGTTTTCACTGCTGCTCGTTACTATTGTCGTTGTTGTATTTTCTGACATTACTTCCCTCAATGTGCTACTGCAGTGCATTCTCTCTACTTTGCTATTTCCAATTGGTTTCAATGAAGCTAACGTTGACAAGCTACACCAAGGCCAAACACTCACACACAAACTCCTGTGGCCTAAACCTAACTTCCTGCGTTGCCTGGGTCGGTGAATATGTTGACGTGCAATAACACTATAATATTATAACTTCCAAAATAATCTTCCAGTTTTCATCGGGTATCGAACCCCGGGGTATGGTTAGTTGATTGAACAGTTACTGTTCCACATATGTTGGAATCTGCTGCAGTCGTTCCAGCTAACATTAGCTCCATTAGCAAACTCTGAAACAGTTCACCCCCCTAACAGCTTTCTGGGCTAAATTCAGAAATAGTGGCAGATACCACGATTTTGAACAGAACTGTGTTCTACGGTATATCAGTTAGGCCTCTGGATATTCACAGGTACCTAAATCCATTAATGGAGACCAGTAAGAGGGGGTGCAGCTAAGTTGATCGTTGGAGTGTGGGTGGTGAGACAAGGCCATGTTGGTACAGCTTGATATAAACCGTATTTCCCTTGAAAATGTAAGTCAGAACGTTGAAGTGGCTGCGGAGAAAAGCTTGCAATGAAGAGATTGACTAGTAGGATCAAGCCTGTCCGTCCATTGGGGCCACCAGTTCCACATGCTCTCCTTATCTAGTCATACGGTTAGGTGTTTTTGATACGCAAACCTTCTGTAGGAATATACATTTGAAATGTTGTTATACCAAACCTAACAACGATTATTGGAGGAGACTTGCAAAGTAGAGAGAGCAGTAAATATAGTACATTTGTTACCTTTTAGAGTAAAACAAAGAGTAACTTCTAATGTATTGGAAAGACACCATACAGTTCCTTTATTGCACCTGGAATGTAGCATACATTTAGTGGAATCTTAAATATGCATGTAGGAAGCTTTTGCATGTATATATCCCCATGCTAATATATGTTCCCCTTATAAGCATGTATTGATATATTTGCATTGTCAGCAGATTGCCTTTGTAAATACAGCAAGTAAATGGTGTATAACGTGGCTGATACAGAGGCTCTGGGCAGATGTTGTATTGAAAGTCAACAAAGGCATATCTAAGAAACAGTTCGTCTGCATCACATTTGTGTTCTTTTGGAAAAAGAGCTCAATCTGTTGTGTCGGTGATTGAGGTCAGGTTTGTAGCCTGTGGCTTGCTGTGTAGAGGATACTATTGGATGTGAGGATGAATGCAGGTTAGTGGGTCTACTTCATTATCAGTACCTATATTGCTTTATATATTTTCAATAAAAATCAAGTTTATTTGCCAGTAAGGGTTTCCGAGGATTATTTTTAAGGCCTTTTTTCCCGTGCACCCTCAAATAATATTTGAAGATATCATCCGTTGTTATGCAGGTATAAGTAGTACTGGGGTCAAAGAACATTTTAAATATCGTAAAGGTATTTAATATGTACCTAGCATAAATAGGTTGATACTAACCTATTTTGAAGATATTTTCCAGTTAGGGGCATGATTTTGATTTGAGTAGAGAATTGACTAAAGAAAGTGGAACTATTTGTTATCCTAGGATTTGTTAAAAGGCATAAATAGCATACATAGGCAAAAGCAAAGGGAGCAGAGTTTTTACAGCAAGTTAATGTTTACCAAACATAACTAGCTCAAAGCAATGTTCAAGAAAAGGCCAGTCTTCTAGATTCTGTTCATGCCAGAGTTGCCATCTTTTCTTTGAGCTGAGCCAAAGACTGTGGGAGTGATGTTGCCTCTTGCTTTGCGCAGGCCTAACCCTTCTCATATATGGCCTATACAGTATCATTGATTTTTGCTGTCAGTAGCTCAATCTGACAGTGGCCTCTGTGGGAGGTAAAAAGAGCGTTTGATCTGCTACAGCGGATATAATTACAGGCAGAGTTCTTACTACAGTCACTGCAGATACATTTGAATATGAATTGGGACTTTAGCAGATCTCACTAACTTGTTTGCTTAGTTTTGAGCAACCTCATTTCCTCAATGTGTAAACCTCGGCTGAGAATGTTCCCACAGAAACGACTTATTCAAGTTCACAGGCAAAGAGTCAACGCAGGCAGCTGCTCTGTAGTTAAAGTTGTTGTCACACATGATTCTGAATCACAATGTTCATCCGAATCAAGTTTATTGCCAGGTACGTTTACACATACAAGGAATTTGCTCAAAAATATAACTAATATACAAATAAAATATATATTTAAAAAAAAAAACGATTCAGCATGAAAAAATAATAGAGAAAAATATTAACACGAAATTTAAATATACTAAATAAAGTACAAACTAAATACAATGAATATATGACAAACTGCAGTGTGTTATATTTATATTTAGTTAATGCTATTGGCATTTTTTAACATGCATTCAGCTGCTGTTATTGGCTACAATATCCTGTGGGGGTCGCCTGTAGTTACAGGGGTTTGATGACATCAGAATGTCAATATCTGACTGTTATAGGTGTTTTTAATGTACCACAATGATACATTATGACTGTTTAGTTGTCATTTCAAGTGCCTGTTTTACATATAAAAGTTATATTGATTGTTGTCAATGTAGTCTTTGCAGAAATGTAGCAAACACAATAAAAAAAAAAACCCATATAAGAAGTGGGTCACTTTGCTGGTGTTTAGAGTTCACATGTCGCCCTCACAGCGGATCAGCGGTCATGTTTTTCCTGTTAATGACATCAGAGGAGATGCGTCCACATACAATGCATTGTCCACTATCACAGACATTTCCTCCTCCTCCTCCTCACTGCTTTTCTTCCCCTCCATGTTATTATCGTGACTAAAGAAATGGCCCTGATCCCCTTGGTAGTAACTGTTGTTCTGTTGTTGACCGAGTCAAATACAGAACAACCTAAACGTACATGCATCAGTGTGGCATGAAGGCTGTGACGTTTGTAGGAGCAGTACCTCCATAGAAAGAATAACACAAACCTCTTTTATGGAGTGTTTTTTTGTGAGTATAAGTGACTATATATCTGTGTATCTTCAATTCAATGTGTTAAGCCAATTTTTTTAGAACTGATTGTCTTTGTACATCGCTATTCACTCACTTGCAACAAAGAACATTGATATTTTTTGGTAAATTGTATAGAACAATTATTATTTTCATCTTCTAACTGCATAGTTAGATCCTAATGAATACAAGGAGAATGGAGAATTTGAGCCCATAGTACACACAAGGACATTCAGAATTTGCATTTAACCCATCCTACTATGAGGGGCAGTGAGTTATATTATATTATATCCCAGTGTGGGAGGCTGGTGTACTCAAGGGCCCCTCGGCAGTGCCAGGGAGGCCAACACTCCGTACTTGGTCTGTTGGACTGGACTCTAACCGAATGAATATACTACTAGCACCTCATAAAAACATACATTGTTATTTACTGGCTTTACGTAGCATGGCAAGAAAATGAAGTGCAGAGGGAAACTGAGAGGAGAGGAGGAAGGAACGGGAGAAGCCAGGATGAGTGTTATTATTAGCAGAGGAAATCAGAAACACTAGAGAACATGTCCTGTCCTTCAGGAGGAAGATCTGGCCTGGTTTTCTGTTAGAGAGGACACATGCTGTCACTTCTGCTATAAAGGTTTTTACATATACATCTAATCCTACCAATACCACTAAATAGATTTTTGTCTGTGTGTCTTTATGAGGTTTTGACATTTCAAATGGTTTTAAAATCGTAATTTTTTTCACCTCTTACAACCTATATTCTTATGTTGTTTTTGTTAGCACCTCCAAAGCAAATTCCGTGTATGTGTAAACGTACCTGGCAATACATTTGACTCTGATTCTGATGAAATAATTTCTAATATTTTTTTCTGTATCTCTTCCAGGTGGTGCTTTAAAACTTCTCATCACTCAGCGGTCCTCACACCTAGGGCCCAAAGCTTCAGCCGGTGTTCCATAGGACCAAGCGTTGTGACAGACTATCAGCCTCTGTGCGACAGAAGACACGTACAGAGATCCAGCATTTACAGGAGCACAAGCTGAAGAGCAACTAACCAAGCCCTATGGCAATAAATCACACGCCTAAAGTATCTAGCGGTAACGGAAAGTCCGATATAAATAGTTTTTGATCAACGCAACACATTCCTGCTGTCAAAGTGTGCCCTGGGGCTGAGTGAGAGGCAGTTGTCATGGTGGACTGGTTTGTCTAAAGCCTCAAGCTAGCGGAGCTTCCAAGTTTCATATAGCATGTTAGCATATGGATAGCAACGTATGGTGACTGACCAGGCTATTACCTCTTCCCCTCCATCACCATCTCTGGCCCCTGCAAGGGGGTTTAAAACTAGTTGCTAGTGGTACCCCCTTACCCCATCATCTTGTTCACCTCTTTCATTAAGTCATCTAAACACCCCACCCAACAATCATCAGCTTTTGCTTTTTACACTTTCACCAGCCCATCTTTTTCATAGTACTAAGCATACTTCATACTTTACGAATTCATCTCACATCTGTCCCAGTTCATCTTAAACATTTTTTCCCACGTTTTGTCCCAGTGTAGGAAATCCTAACATTTGACTGTCGAGCTGCTAGACAGTCGTTTTGGTAGTAGTTGTGGTTGCATGGAATCGGCTTAACCGTGGAGAGGCCAGGCTACCACAAACTGATGGACTTTGACAAGCGAGGAGTGGGGGGAGGTGGAGGAGGAGGTGGTGGAGGAGGTGGTGGAGGAGGAGGTGGAGGAGGAGGAGGTGGAGCGAAGGGGGAGGCAGAGGAGGGGAAGAGGATGCCCGGGAAGACAGGGAGTCGATCGGGGCACGGAAGCCGGGGCACCAGCTCCAACTCCGGGGTTCTGATGGTCGGACCAAATTTCCGGGTCGGGAAGAAGATCGGCTGTGGGAACTTTGGAGAGCTGCGACTTGGGAAGAACCTGTACACCAACGAATATGTGGCTATCAAACTGGTAAAAATAAGTTCTCCAAATACAGAGGTGGAAGAAGTACTCAGATCTTGCACTTGGGTAAAAATAGAAATACCATAGTGTAGTAAAACTCAGTTTTAAGTTCTGCATTCAAAATGTCACTCAAGTAAAAGTACAAAAGTATTGGCATCTAAATATACTTAATGTAACAAAAGTAAAAGTACTTATCATGCAGATCGGCCCATTTCAGAATAAGATAAGTCATTATTTATCCCGGAGGAAATTGTGGTGCCAGTGTTACGAAAATACAATAAACACAGCAGCATAATAATACATCACATATTTAATGTTTTCTTTATAATCATGGATGTTTGAATGGGTTTATCAAGCCTGTAAAGCTGGAATTAAATGATTATTTTGTTACTGCCGAGTGGCCTTTTAACTAAAGCCTTATTTAAGTGTTGATTATATTTTGTATTATGTAGTGGAATAAAAGTACACAAATGACCTCTCAAATTTTTTTAAGCATAAAATGGAAATACTCAAGTAAATAATAATAATAACTCAGAATGAAGTACAGTACTTGTGTAAATGTACTTAGTTACTTTGCACCACTGTCCTTATATAGTGTATAGCTTTGTAGGACAGCACACTTTATTAGTGTAAGTAAGAAGGAGCATTATTCTTCCATATTTCATATGAAGCCGTTTCACATTGTAATTAACCATCTTATACTTGCAACAATTGGGATCCTCAGTATGACAGCAGTGTCAGAAAAATGTATATTATGAAATGGGTTTTATTTGTTTACTACTACCTCTGTTGTGTGACTATTCTTATTGAGACATCATCCTCCTTTTGTAGGAGCCCATCAAGTCCCGGGCGCCACAGCTTCACCTAGAATATCGCTTCTACAAACAGCTGGGGAGTTCAGGTAAGGCTTTCACTAAGTCTTCTACTGGGACAATCGGCAGAGTCTTAATGAAAGGATTTCCATGTGACTAACATTCATAAGAATAAGGAGTTTTGTTCGTGTCATAAACACAAATATGAATTAGTAAATTAGCCTTTTCAAGTTCTCCTTTTTATCATGATTTCTGAAAGAGAAGTCCCATATCAGTCAAACAATTCTGCCGATTGATTTTGCACTGATCTTATATCTTGCTACACTTTTGACCTAGGGAGGGTGTAGGCTCGATGTTTTGGACATATCTTCACATGTTGATGCTCTCCCTCTATTGTGCTGATGCCCAGATCAACTAGTATGAGTTGTTAGTGAAGCAACAATCCACAACAACAACAGACAAGACCCCTTGATTAATTGGAACACGAATCCCAGAAGGATTGCCACTGGATATTAAACCCACCATCTCTGCAGTGCAAACTTAACCACTTGTGCGCTTCATAAAGAATATACAGATTTCACTTCCCTGCGTTATATGTACAACATATAATTTCCATTTGTTTACCCAAAAATATTTTAATAACTAGATGGTATTAAAACAACAACATCGCTGGTGGTGCAATAAGATCACAAGCACAAGATTCAATCTTGATGGTTTCTGCGACATCGGAAATCACTCAGAAATCCTTGATTTTGTCCCACAGCGTTATAGCGGCAAAGGTACATTGCAGATAAAAGGCGAATGTAGAAAATGTAGACTGAGAGAGAATTACGATTTAAATAAGTCATGTTTAAAAACAGAAATGGCCAAAACACACAGAATTGAGTTAAGACAACATACACAGAGCCTGCAACTTAGATTTTATTCACAGTAGGTCACTGGATAACCACTTCTTCAATGTGGCCTAGGTCACATTCACATGGCTAAAGTAATGAAGACATATCTCTGTTCAAAGATATTCATATCATTAACTTACTGTTGAATGAAGTATTGTATTGTATTGTGAGCGGAGTCAACTCACCCAGCCATGGTGGCTTTTAGGTGGATATTTCAGGAGTTCATGATTTATTGTCATTCTAGAGACAGGGTTGCACAAGCTGTAGCCCCAGTTTCTACACAAGAAAAAGATAAACAATTGATGATGGTCTAGTGGAGTCCTACAGCCTGAGGAGAGAGGCTGCTCTGGGCGGGTCTGACAGCAGATGCTTCAGTATGGCCTGCCAGACGGAAGCTAACTGCACCGTGTTGATTTCTCAATGTGTCCAACTCCTGTTCTGACTGTCCTTTCTCCGTGTGTTCATCCAGAGGGTGTGCCCCAGGTATTTTACTTTGGACCGTGTGGTAAATACAACGCCATGGTTCTGGAGCTGCTGGGACCCAGCCTAGAAGATCTGTTTGACCTCTGTGACCGGACCTTCTCTCTGAAAACTGTCCTCATGATAGCTATACAGCTGGTAAAACAGATTTATTTTGATTTTGATCTCTAAACACAGAATTCCTTTATTCGTCCCACAGAGGGGAAATGTACATTGTTGCAGCAAATGTATGGATAAAGATGTAAACAACACAATTAGATATAAGTCATGCTCATGATATTTTTTATAAAATGATTACAATGTACAGAAATATACATTCAGGTAGATAAGTAAGTAAAAGCAGTATATATAATATAAATGTAACAATGTAGCCTGAAGTGTGGTAGCAGGTCGATTACAGCAGTAAGATTCTCCAGTAATGGATGGACTGACTGCACAACAGTGGTGACATAGTCATTGTTTTTTTGGTTTTATTCTTGGATTACTTATCTTAGCCTTTTGTGCTCTGTTCTTTTTCCTTTAGATCACTCGCATGGAGTTTGTCCACACCAGAAGCTTGATCTATCGGGACGTAAAGCCTGAGAACTTCCTGGTGGGCCGACCGGGCTCCAAACGGCAACACACCATCCACATCATAGACTTCGGCCTGGCCAAGGAATACATAGACCCAGAGACGAAGAAACACATCCCATACAGAGAGCACAAGAGTCTGACTGGAACGGCTAGATACATGAGCATCAATACACATCTGGGGAAAGGTAAGCATTACATGACATTGCATTTAGCTGACGCTTTTATCCAAAGCGACTTACAATAAGTGCATTCGACCAAGCATGCGATCATTAGCAGCGCGCTAATGATACCATATATGTACCATATCAACCATAGATGTCTAGGCATGTGTATGTAAGCAAAATACGTTTCATTTGTGTTTCGATCATTATTAATAAATTCAATAATTAGGTGAGGATTCTGCAGAATTTTGTACAAATATTGTAGAAACACGACGAAATCACACAATTGTGATATGATATAAGTGTCTTCTACCTGAGAACATTTGTGGAGCAATTTTCATATAAAGTGAAAATACTACATAAGATTTGAAATTGTACTATTAATAAAAATAAGATAATTACCGTTTAAGAAATGCAAACAATGGAACGAATCAGCACTTTGTAGGCCTGTGACCACATAGCGCCTTGATCTGGCAAAAAGACACTGGCAGGGAGCTCGGGAGAACAACTCTGTTTGTGATGTGAACACCGGCCCTCATTCTCAAAGATGATCTTATAAATATTGAATGCTCTCAAAAAGCTATTTTGTTTCATTTAAAATGCCAAATGGCACATTCCGCTTATTTTGCCTGTAGACCTCACTTTTATAATACCAAATAATTGTATTATTTTATACTTGCAAAGTTCTGGCTAATTGAGCAACAGGAGCGTTAGCTTGTCCATCAAGTGAACTTGTTTCTTTGTTTGGCTCAGCTCAATGCAAGTAACTCTACAGAAAAGTGCCTTTTTTAGCACCTTCCCTCCCAGGAAACTTTTCTCCACGGCCAGTTGTCCCCAAGTTAAGGACGCAAAGTGGTTGAGGATGAAAAAGTGTGCAAAAAGGGGCAAATGGACACGGTTAAATGTGGTGAAACAATTGGGACTGAATTAATGATGTTGTTTTGTTGAGTGTAGAGAGTTCTGATATTTTGGTTTTTATAATATCACATAGTCATGGAAAATGTGCTCCACAAGGTCACATATCTCAAATCGTTTTTGTCAGTCGGTCAATTGAAAAAGATATAGAAAAGAAGTATATTTGCGTAATTGCTAAATAAATAGCGTGAAATATTAGTGGGTCATCACAATTGTAAGCTATTTATTCTTGTAATAATTATTTTGTCACTGTTTTCATTCTGATTGAGTTTGAAGGCCTACTCAATATGGGACAAACAACCCCATCTGTCGTGATCAAGAGTAATTAAAGCCTTTGGTTTTCCTGTGTTTCAGAGCAAAGCCGGCGGGATGATTTAGAAGCTCTAGGTCACATGTTCATGTACTTCCTGCGAGGCAGCCTACCCTGGCAGGGCCTCAAGGTGAGTGTTTATCAGTCCTGTCAGAGTTGTTTTTCTCTCTGCATCACCTCTCCTAAGCTGCCTTCCATTACAAACAGTGAATACATTCCTTCATGTCTCCGTCTTCATAAGGCTGACACTCTGAAAGAACGTTATCAGAAGATAGGAGACACAAAGAGAGACACACCTATAGAGGTCCTCTGTGAAAACTTCCCAGGTGTGTATATACACAGCTCTACAAATTAAATAAAAAAGATTGTGTTTCAGCTGTTGCAAATATGGTGAAGTTAGCATATGTTGATCAAATCTTGTGTCTCTGTGTTTGAATGTGTGTGTGTGGGTTTGGTACCTGTGTGTATGTAACAGAAGAGATGGCCACCTACCTGCGGTACGTGCGTCGACTGGACTTCTTCGAGAAGCCAGATTACGACTACCTGAGGAAACTCTTCACAGACCTCTTCGACAGGAACGGATACATCTTTGACTACCAGTACGACTGGACTGGGAAGCCTCTGGTTAGTTTCTGCTCACTGTCAGCTGATACCCCATTGTATCATTATACTAATTGTAGCGGCCAATATCATTAAGAAATAAAACTGAAAATCAACTCAAAAGTGGGAAAATCGTAGGCAGGTTTTAAGATCAGCTGGAAGCATATGTTCCATTGCTTGTATACAATTATTTTTAATCTTAATAGACTCACTTGACGGAGGTCAGCAGAAACAATGTTTACATTTTTGTATTTCAAATAATGTGATATGAGTTTATTGGTGATGTTTAAATGTGAGTGTTAATTAGTTTTGAATGGCAAAATAGTTGATTTAACAGTATTAGATCCAGGGTTCCCAACCTTAGTAAATCTGAGGGGTCAACAGACACGTTCACCTTTTTTAGATATCCCTCAGATGTTCACAAAATTATTGTTTTTGAGGTTGTCTTTATCAATGAATTTGTCATGAATCGTCATGAATTACTGAGTAGGATGAAACAATCTAAAAAGCAAAAATCCCTCCTTGGTTGAAGTGGCCACCTCAGAGCAAAGAAGGTTGGAAATAACTGCACAAAATCAGTAATAGAATATAAAGTCCAGAAAATGAAATCTCATGTCACTGAATGTGTATTTTCTTATTTCGATCTGATGTTAACCCCCACCTCCTGTGTTTAGCCCACTCCTATTGGTCCAGTGGCCAGTGAGACTCCACTTCAAACGAGTAGCCGAGAGAAGGCACCGCAGACCAAAAACCAGGTACACACTCTGAACACACACGCAACTCAGTTAGGTTGCTAACTGAGTGACACAAAGGATCTGAGGGGCAGCCTAGTGCATGTTGCTGTTCTTTTAATTAGCACGCACTGAAAATAGCACGTGAGTACAGAAGTATGAAAATACTTCTCTTGATACATGGCGCAATGGAATCAAGATAATGCCACCCCACGATTCCTTGCAGCAGCAACATTTATAACGATAGCAGACACACATTAATAATGACATAATGATATAGCCTAAGTGTAGTGGGATCTCTTACTCTTTTCCTGAGTTCTTCTTTTACTTTTCAGCCGCAGATAGCAAGAGCAAATCCATGAGTTTTTCTCTAGACTGGCTTCCCATCTCTGAAGCAGCCACACTCTGCTGGCCACATGCTGCCGTTCTGCCTAAAAATGAGTAAAGCTAAATTGCCATTATTAAACATTGGTTGGACATTCTTCTTGTTTGGTCCAATCAAAAGTGGACAGTAGATGTGTGTGGACACTGTTTAACAGAAGGGTTTGAACACACTGAGGTCAGGTGGTGGTAAAGATTCTTGTTTTCTTCTTCAGCCACCATCACAGCTGTAGTCAGACTGGATCAGCAGCACAGCACATATGTTGTGCCTGATGTTAGGTTCAGGATAGCTTCTTATTGCTTTGGTGATTTAGTGTTGTTTAGGGAGGTACATTTGTCTCAAATATTTTCTTGAGTTTCCAATTATGTTTTTTTGCATTTGTGGAATACTTTTGAAGAATGCACACAGGTTGTTGCTCTGTTCCACTAAAGAGAAGAACTCATGGGACCCTTTTTGTGTTCAAGTGTTGAAAGAAATCCAGTTTCTGTATATGTTATTACAAACAGTATGAAATGTTAGTTGTAGTATTTCATCAAAGAATAATGCAGAATCGCGACAAAACTAGTCCATATAAATATTCATACGTTCGACCCAAATACACTTTGGCCAGTCAAATCTAAAAAGAACATGTAGTGTATATTATATACGGCCGGCCCCTAAAACTAAATTCACCTGATTTCAGTGAAGTAACCTGAGGGATGCAGCAGCAGGGCAGGTTGGAACATAAACGGGTTCTTAAATGACTTCACCACAACACTGACTGCCATGGAAGTAGAGAGAGGGGAAATGGTGAGAAGCACGACCCGTGTCAGTTGACTGAAACGACGCTCTCAGCTCGGGTGCAGAGTGTCAGTGAACTCTCCTAAAAGACTTCTGTATTCAGCTAACTGCAGCCCATCAGCAGAACAGAACTATATGATTTCATACTTAAACTACAATCTGTTGTGCTCTGAGAAGGTGGAAATCATAAATCTCAAATAATGAACAAATGCACTAAATGGTGGGTCTTATGGGTAAGAATGCAGGCAGATATAGGAGTTAATTGTGGTCTATCTGATGAGTGAATCATGTATTTCTCCTATCAGGTAAGGTGTATTGAAGAATGAGATCAATTACACATTTTTCTACAATAGATAAGAAAAAACAGGCAAATCCTGATTCAGCTATAATATCACTTTTAGCATTCCAATGTGTCTGTTTTAAAATAACCTGTGTGGCTGACAATACCAATCCATTGGAAGCAGAACAAATGGTGTCTCATGATTATCTTTGCATGCCTCCTTCTTTTGCATTCACACACACACCCATCAGTCAACGTTTCAAAAGGCGCCTGTAGTTACACTGCAGGCCTTTGGGGCAGGTGAGGTGAGGCAGCAAAGAGAATAGCCCTTCTGCGTGGGGAGCTACAGTCTCCTGTGCACTCTCACTGTACTGCACACCCTCCACCAAATACTGACTCTGAACTCACTATTTCTTTTCTCTTTCCTCGTTCTTTTTTTTTTCCTCACACCGCCCACTCCTCTTTTCCGTCTGCTCGGCTTCCCACTTCTCCCTCGCCTTCCTTCTATCATGACTGTTCCTCTTTTCCACGGCGAGCCTCCTCTTCCATTTTATTTGTACTCTTCACCTTTTCCCTCCCTCTCCTGTGTGGTTTCTCCTGCGATTGGGCTTCCTGTCTCCTCTAGTCTCCAGAGGGGAAAGGCAGTGAGTCGCAGCCCACTCCAGTGACCAATCGAGAGCTGCTGGGCTCCCATCTCACTGCTGATAGGCTGGGCGGGTCCGTCCAGGTACTGAGAGGAAGGGTTAGCTCTGCTGGCTTCTTGTCTGTCTGCCTACCTGTATCTGTCCGCCTGCATGACCTTCTCTAAGACAGAGCAGGGCTCACCCCAACGCTGTTTCCTCACAATAATCCCCTCACATGGGACTATTGTTGTAGAAATAAAAAAAGCCTTCATGTATCCATGTAAGGTTTGCAAATCATGGAAGAGGATTAGGGCCACATGACGTGACCAAAAGTAAAAAAAAAGGTTGAGTTCTGATTTTGATCTCAGATTTATGAGAACAATTCTCAGAATTCTGAGATAAAAAAATAAATCCTGGAAAGACATTATAAAAAGTTTTTCATAATATTCTGACTTTCTTTTTCAGAAATCTTAGATTAAAGTCAACACTGAAATAATTGTTTTAACTTTTGGTCACGTCCCAAAAACTGTTTCTCACGTGTCCCTAATCCTCTTTCATAGCAAAGCATCAATTAGGGAATGTCACAATTATTTCCAAACTATCAGTCCTTTTTTCACATTAGATACTGGAGACTTTCTGTAAGAGGACAGCAGGTCTGGCTTCTATGCTGACAGAGCAGAGAGTATTTCCAAATCTATCTCAATGCTTACTAACTTGATGTTTGGCTTGAATAGCGGTGGTGCAGTGAGGACGTTTTTGTGTAGAAAAACCAAGAAGTTAACATCCCTAGGGCTCCCTAAAAAAGTTATGTAATTGTTCCATTGGATTTTGGAATATTGCAGAAAATATGATCTTTGGCCAACACACGTTTATGATACTTACACATTTTGTTCAGCAGGGTTGGTCTCCCCAATTTCTTAAGCGTAAATATAATCACAGAATTTAAAAGCTAACAGTAGGCTCTGTACAAAGTACATCACCTTCACACTGCTGCCCTTCACCAGCGCTAAGCTAAAGGTGGCTAATGTTCTGCTGGTTGACGTTTAGTAGCCTCACAGCCTTAGGACACATTGACGCTTCAGACATTCATCAGTGAGGTACTCCCTAATGTATTTTCCTGTCATCTTACTAAAAAGGTGCAGACAGGAAGTGCTTAAATGCTAACTTTCTTCTGGGTTTTATGACTCATTCCTGCACCACTCAATGCGCTGAGGCAATGGTAGTTTTCTTATGTTGGCTGAAATGATCAAGGTAGAAGCACACAGCTGTTGTCTTGTAGGAATTTGTACTTTTCCAGAAGCAGCGTCAGGTTTGTAAACGAAGCCTTTGTTTGTGTTCAGCAGACTACAGTTAATTGACCGGCAAGAAAACGTGTATGTGTTGTTTGATTGATCAACCAGGGTAGCTTAGGCCTGAGTATGGAGAGCAGCTGTAGCCACGTCAAATCTGCCACCTTTTGCAACATTCCCACAAACAAAGCAATCTCATTTTGTGGCAGTGTGAAAACGTGTTTATTTTTCTAAAAGGTTTTATTCATATTTAACCAGGTAAAGACTCATTGAGATTCAAATCTCTTTTCCAAGAGCGACCTGGCCAAGAAGGGCAGCATGCACAAAGTTACAACAGATCAAACACAGACGATACAGGCAGACAAATCCAGCTGTAAAACACAAATCAAATGGCCAGTCAATATGCAAAATAAAAGAAACTATTACAAATCATTAAAAACTGGCAACATTTAAAAATGTATTTCTACTGTACAGTGTTGTGTCCAATGAATGCAGCCCACAGGTACATGAAGAAGAAGAAGAGTGGGGGGAGAAATGTAATGAATCCAGTAGAAAGTGGTGTGGAACACATGCACACCCGGATATCTCTCACCAGGAAGACAGAACATGACATTGACTGCCTATAATAAGGCTCAGCATGTCAGAACTAGGGCTTGGCGATATTATGGATATTTGATTGGTTGTGATATAAGGCTACATATCGTCTTATATTTTGATAATTCTTTTATCTCATCAACTTTGCCTGGATTTAAAGGCAAAGTTAAGTAAACATTGTTCTAAATCTTCTTTTATTTGCGTTTGCTTTTTTTTTTTAGATGTGACGTTGAGACGCGCCCCAAAGTGCTGAAATGCTAACTCATTTCCAGGGTTAAGACTCATTCCTGCACTACTCTATTGGCATTAAGTGGGCGGTCCTTACATTTGTTATTAAAGTTGACATTTCAGGTGCACTAAATGCATGGGAAATAACAACTAGAAATGGAGATGGGTGAAATGTTGAAATGAATAGTAACCCGCTGTGCGAGCATGTATGTGATGTCAGAGCTGCTGCTGTTAGAACCAATCATGTCCAGTCCCAAGAGTAGTCATTGCTTTTTGTTATAAGGCATTAAGTGAACTTGCAGCTTTTTTGCATGGCAGTAATATCAATGTTTTGAATGCCTTCCTGGAGGTCACGGCCCTTATGGACTATTCAGACAACGTCCACATTAGGCTGGCTACATCTGAAAACATTTCCCTTTGTGAGGATGGACAGCAGGACACTGATGGATTGAGAGGATCTGGGCTGGAATTTGTGCAAAGAAATAAGAAGATGGCTTTGAATTGCTAAACCATTGTTTTGTCAGTGTACAGAGAACTTGTTGTTTTCACACACAAACGGCGTTTATTTGATCCCTCTGTTATGGGACTTGTACCTGTACTCATTACTCTCTTTTACTTCTCAACTCCAGGTGATGAGTTCAACCAATGGGGAGCTGAATACAGACGACCCCACTGCAGGACACTCCAACGCACCAATCACAGCCAACGCAGAGGTGGAAGTGGCTGATGATACCAAGTAAGGACACAAACGTTGAAGCAGAATATATGTGTAGAGGATTTCAACACCTTTTAACCACAACACCAGCAAACCTATCAGATTACAAGCTAAATACATGTGATTTTGCACAAACAGGTAATAACACAGATGTGCTCATGTGACTGTCACCTGGACTTCCTGTAGCTTAGTCAGCGCTTTTACTGCATGACTGTTAAAAGCATGTTGTTGACTTTGCTCTAACATAATGCTGATGGTGCAAAAAGTCTGCCTGTGCTCTTCTTTTTTCTGACACTCATTATTTAGAGGAATTGCCTTAAGGTTTTTAAAGGGAATAAAATGACTTTTTCCAACTAAGCCACTTTAAATAGTACAACTAGGGTGTTACAGACTTATGTCATGATTTTCCTTTTCTACAAATCCTCTCCACCACACAGAGTTCCCGTTAGAATATTTTTTTGCCGGTCAAAATATCCGTTAAAGTTGAAATCTTCTGGACAAAATTAGAAAAGTGCCGGTCAAAGGTCTTCTTTGTTATTTATTGAGCTTTAAAACAAATTGATATGATTCGATATTAAACAAACTAATTATAGTAGATTAACTACATTATTCAAAAGTGTACAGTAACTTACAATAACACGGGAATAATAAACGGAGCGCTCTCTCCTTCTCCTGACAGCCCGCCAGTATCCGTCTCATGCAGCTCGCTGATCCAGTAATGAGTGACCGACAGTAAAACTAAACATATCTATAACTAGTTTAGGTAGGCTACTGTAGTTTGAGAGGTAATTAAAATAGCTACGTGTGATATTCTAACCTGAAGTGTGTGTTTTGTTCCGCTCACCGCTGCATGGGATCATGCAGAGCTGCGTGTCGACTCGTCAGCAGCAGCTGATCTCTTGCTCCCGTCAGATTAGACTTCACTCGCGTTTATGTCCATATCGATCAGATCTAGCTAGTTCTAGCTAATGATATGACTACCTGCTTATTAAAAGACACCTAAACAATAAGCCTCGCTATGCAACCGGGTGAGGCCACAAAGTATAGCACAGCATTATGCATTTGTTTACATGCCCACCGGAACCCCGAGGCATTACCAACAGATCAACGCACAATCAACCCATACAGGACATCTCTTTCTCCACATTAAGTGTTAGACATTAGAATTGACTATTCTTGTCTGTCACATACTCTTCTGTCTGTCACATACTCTTCTCGTCTGTCACATACTCTTCTTGTCTGTCACATACTCTTCTTGTCTGTCACATACTCTTCTTGTCTGTCACATACTCTTCTTGTCTGTCACATACTCTTCTTGTCTGTCACATACTCTTGTCTGTCACATACTCTTCTTGTCTGTCACATACTCTTCTGTCTGTCACATACTCTTCTGTCTGTCACATACTCTTGTCTGTCACATACTCTTCTTGTCTGTCACATACTCTTCTTGTCTGTCACATACTTTCTGTCTGTCACATACTCTTCGTCTGTCACATACTCTTCTTGTCTGTCACATACTCTTCTTGTCTGTCACATACTCTTCTGTCTGTCACATACTCTTCTGTCTGTCACATACTCTTTCGTCTGTCACATTCTTGTCTGTCACATACTCTTCTTGTCTGTCACATACTCTTCTTGTCTGTCACATACTCTTCTTGTCTGTCACATACTCTTCTCGTCTGTCACATACTCTTCTTGTCTGTCACATACTCTTCTTGTCTGTCACATACTCTTCTTGTCTGTCACATACTCTTCTTGTCTGTCACATACTCTTCTCGTCTGTCACACACTCTTCTCGTCTGTCACATACTCTTCTTGTCTGTCACATACTCTTCTTGTCTGTCACATACTCTTCTTGTCTGTCACATACTCTTCTTGTCTGTCACATACTCTTCTTGTCTGTCACATACTCTTCTTGTCTGTCACATACTCTTCTCGTCTGTCACATACTCTTCTCGTCTGTCACATACTCTTCTCGTCTGTCACATACTCTTCTCGTCTGTCACATACTCTTCTCGTCTGTCACATACTCTTCTTGTCTGTCACATACTCTTCTTGTCTGTCACATACTCTTCTTGTCTGTCACATACTCTTCTTGTCTGTCACATACTCTTCTCGTCTGTCACATACTCTTCTTGTCTGTCACATACTCTTCTTGTCTGTCACATACTCTTCTTGTCTGTCACATACTCTTCTCGTCTGTCACATACTCTTCTCGTCTGTCACATACTCTTCTTGTCTGTCACATACTCTTCTTGTCTGTCACATACTCTTCTCGTCTGTCACATACTCTTCTCGTCTGTCACATACTCTTCTCGTCTGTCACATAAGTGGTGCAACTGATGCGGTATTGTGCTAAGGGGAAATTATTTTGACCGGACATTTTGACCGGAGAGATTTAGATTTGCCGGTCTTCAGCATATTTTACCGGTCATAGTCCGGTAATTACCGGCTAACGGGAACTCTGCCACCACAACCTGATCATATTGTTGTTTTTCAATGAAAATGGTCATATTGATGCAAAAATTATAATTCTCTCCAATATCAGAAATCCCATCAAAATGGTATTATCTGTGAAAATGATCTCAACTAGATATTCTTTATGAAACTGAACACCTATTTGAAGTACGCTGATGATGGTTTGTGTGTTTCAGTATAGACTCCCAAAAGGAATGTTGGAATTATTAAAGCCCGTGAAAATGTGGATTCAGATCTTATAATGGTTAGATTTGATAAAGGAAGATATTTGTGTTGACGAACAGGGATGCACTGATTTATTAATCTCTCAGCCGATGTTCCCCTTTTGTCAGAAAAACAAATACATCTTTATTTGATATAAAATATAAAGTGCCTTTCAGCCCTTCATCAAACCAACTTTGCAATAACCTGCTCAATGAGAACATTTCATTGTTTTCATTTCAAACAACCCCTGTTTGCTATTTCGTTTTTTTCTCAGTTTCTATTTTATTTTTATTATTATTTAAATGTTTCACTCATCGTTTGTTATTTAATGTGCTATTTTTGGGTCGCTTAATAATATGATCTGTCAATCAAACTGTATTATCCTTATAACGGGAAAAAGAGAACATTATAAGTTCCAAAAGTCAGTGGTCACTTCTCGTTCTCCATCATAACCTATTATATCTCCCCACTTTCTATGATAATAGGACATATTTCATATCATCAAATTGTCAATGAATGAGTTGAACAAGACATGTGTGTGTGTTGCAGGTGCTGCTGTTTCTTCAAGAGGAGGAAGAGGAAAGCTCTCCAGAGACACAAATGAAGACGAGAGAGAAGACCTGCTCTCTGTTCTCTCTTTCTCTCTCTCTCTCTTTCTCTAGCCCTCTTCATATAACCCCCCCCCCCCCCCCCCCCTCTCTCTGCCCTTCCCCCTCAGCTGTGGGAGGTCCTGTAGTTTACTCTGGGTCGGCTGGACCACCGGCAGCAGGTCCTGTCTGCTCGGCTCCTCTGGAGGGAGCAGACGGACGCAGTTTTCCTCGGAGCTTTAATTGTGGACCGGCTGGAGCCTTCATGTATTTATGGTCACAGACTGAACTGAAACTGGATCAACACACACACCACAGGAGTACAGGTGACCACAGACAGTTGGTGGACTGCAAGATGCGAGCTGATTGGCTGACAGGCTGGATCAGCTGGCAGACTGGCTCTTCTTTTTGTTTTTTGTTTTTTTTCTTCCTTACTGACTGGTTCAGAGGAGAGAGAATGTATTTCTGAGGAGATACAGATGAGAGGACAATACAAGGATGGGAAGCAATGAGACTGTCAGATCACACACACACACACACACACACACACACACACACACACACACACACACACACACACACGCACACACAAGCTGCACACTTTCTCGAGCTCATCATAAAGAGACTTCTTGGACAATACGATGCAGCTCTCGCACATAGTCTATAAAGTTTTTATTCTCTAGGGTCTAAGGAAGTAGAGTGGCTCGGTCTATATCCTGCAACGGACTGGGCTCTATGTTCTTCTCGGACACGTTCACCCTCAGAGGAAACCTCACAACCACCAGAAACAAAAGTTTAAAAAGATGTTTATGTGAAAACTATGCTTTTTGCTGTTTTAATTTGTAACTAAAAAGACTGTCTAAGATTTGGAACCTGTGTTCTTTTCTGTCTTTCTGAGTTCAACACGTTTATGTTTTGTAGCTTGGAGAGTGTTCCTCAAAATGTTTTTTTTTAATAACTTGTATTTTTAATTTTCTGTTTTTTTCTTTTCCTCTTTCTCTCTGGGTTGGAGGATGGAAAGTTGGATAACTCCATTAAAAACAACCAAAAAAATAAAAGCTGATCTTTATTTAAGGGAATCATGATCAATATATTTTTTTTAAGTTTGAGAGATATTTTTAGAGTGTATCATTTCACTAAACCATCACTGCAGATAGTCATATTCCACAGGTAGGTCAGGGCTTGAGTCTGGAGAATCTGGACTACAGCGTTATTCTATAGCTACTGTCGAAAAGCCTCAGAAACGGATATTCACATCATGAAAACTCAATTTATGAGACACTCAAAAATATCTAATAATTTCAGAAATAGACTAAGCAAACACAATTCAATGCTAAGCGCACAATTAGCTGTGATAGAGAACCTGTACAAAAATATAGGAACATCGAATGTGGTTTATTTACAACTTGCCAATCTAGAAATAACAGGTACAGGATCATATCAGATACACATCTCTCTGGAAAATGTCTGCACCACGCTCAAAGTGTGCGAAGGCAGAAGCTTAGGTAATATTAAACAACTTCACTTTTTAAGGGGAGACAATGTGACTAAATATATTATGGATATTCCCATGAGACTACCCCAGTTCATCAGTGAAATTACAACTTTAATTTTCACGTTCACACAGTCAGTTGATTTTTGCCGGCCGTCTTTCCTGCAACGGCAGTTTTTCTGTATTTCCTCTATCCTGTAATATGACTTGATAGCTTTAAACTCCGCACACGGAGCTCTGATTGGTCAGCAGGCGGTGCTTTCACTGAGTTGATCTCTTATCTGGAACCAGACCTGCTCCGGAGCAGGTTTGCCATTCAGCATAAGTTACCATGGAGATCTAGCCCGGTAAGAAGAGAACCAGCACCGTAGGACCGGAAACCCAGAGTTTTTCCTGAAGTTAGCTCGCTAAGCGAAAATCCGGCTTCGTAGTACAGGCCTCAGAACAAATCTCAAGCCAGGTTTAACATTTGTTTGTTGACATATAAAAGTCAAAGGGTTTTACAGAGAGTAGTGTTAATCTCTTTGTATCATTCCATAAATGAGAGCATAGCCTACTGTCCACAGCCATAAAACATTTAGTATTTAGTATGTTTAAGTGGTTTTTTTTTCTTTTTCTTTTTTCAACAGAACAAAACAGCTCAGTCATGACATGACAAGGTGAGTAGGTAAAACAGTGGACAACATAAGGATCCCCCCTCCCCCCCACCCCTTTACCATTCCATACCCGAGGGAGAAAGACAATGACAAAAGGACAATTATATAATAATTCAAATTAAATGTATGAAAATTAATAAACCGGTATTAAGTAAAAATAATATAAAAAGTACATACAGTAGAAGAGCTAGGCCGAAAGAGGGAACCTCGTAAAATGGAAACACAGTGAGTGTTTTAACCAAATACATAATGAAACTTAAGCACCCATAGCTGTGATTGTGAAACTGTAACAGTCATTGTAAACAAAAGACAATAGGGTCAATTGAAAAGGGTACATTTTCCTCTGCTAACATGCTCAGTAAAAAAGCCAATATTGTTTTTCTGTGGCTTAAAATGTAAACATGTAAATCTAATTTGCACTATTTTGGTTCCATATTCCTTTAAGAGATGTGATATGCTGGCCTCATGTCAACAGGCAGAGGTTTTACATTGTGTAAGGCTCACTCTGCTCTGGACCACTTCGAGATTAGAGTTGGTAATTCTTTGAAAAACATTGCAAAATCACTAGTTCATCATCCAAAAAGAGTAAAGCAGAAGGGAAGTGTTTCTTTCTGTGAATTTTCTTTTCCTTTAAGCCAACTTGTGCAACAACCGGATGTTAAAGTGAACTATGAGTCATAGGAAAACAATATCACAAACCAATTGAGAGGAATGATAAACAAGCATGATTATTAGTCAGTAGGAAATAGTAAACTAATTGTTATGCTTTCAAAGGTCTTTTCATTTGATGCCTCATTGACTTGGATATGCTGTGACTGAAACACTGGGATAAGAATGCCGAGAGGGTTGACAGCCGTTAGTGGCTGAGAGCTCATAGAAAACCAAGATGTTGTCAAATGTGGCCCCCTCTCTCAAATATCTAAATCATTCAGTATTGTAAATCCAGACTCAACTTTACATGACTTAGATTTGATCTGTGTACTTCTGAGTGTTTAAATTGAAGTTATCCATATATTCCATTAAACCTTCTTATTGAAACAGGCTCAAAGGTGCAGAAATGAACTCATGTATGGTATGAGGTACACTTTTGTGACATGTGGATATTATCCGGCTGAACAAAACGTGATCTGTCTCTTCAATTTGTGTCAACCACAGACCTTATTTCGAGCTATTTTCCCAAATCCTATGGAGAAATTGCATTGGTTTTTGTCGAAGGAACCGGAAGGAGTTTACTTCCGGGTTTTAGGACGCGTCAATGTGGCACTACATGTATGTAACCTGCTCAGAGGGAACTGGAACTGTGGGTGTGCTTTGACATCTATATAATAACCATACCTTTATATGATTAAATATACTAAATTCTGCTCAGTTGTATTTAAATAAACAGAACATGTTTCGGCAATGCAAACATTTTATAACAATAACGCCAATGTGTCTAATAATTCCTTTTAGTTTCTAAATTGAGAGAATTGTAGATACACAACGTTTAATGTTTAACATGTTTAGTTTACCACGTAACGGCGAAAGTGAGTGATGGCTCCCATGCTTTGTTAAATATACGATCTTTGGCTCACGTGAGGAAGTGAGCCCGCGAGGCTTCCCCTATTGGCCAAGAGGAGAAGGAGAGTTTCCTATTGGTCCATCCCTACTTTTTGTGCTTACATGATCATTACTGATCAGCGTTGTTGTTTACATCTGTTTGTCTTTGAGTTACTTAACGTGTTCAGCCGGTTAGCTAAAGGTTACCGGTGCAGCGGCTCGGTGTTCCCGTACCGAGCAGGAGTTAACGTTACCCGCCGTTGCTGCCGTTGTATGAAGAACAGTCACTGGAGTGGGCTGTGTCGAACTGTGGTTACCTTTAATGGGATAGCCCTGACAGAAGGCTGATACCTCTCGCATGAAGTCATGTTTAACTTTTGTATCTAGTTTGCTCGGTGTTGACATGTCAAAATACGGGTACGAATGAGGCGAAGGAAGCCCTTTTCCTCCCAGTAGCAGCTCTGTGCCGGTCTCTGAGGTGCTCCTTCTGGCTCAGTTCTCCAACGTCACCTGATCACAAGCAAATTGAAACCAAAGGAATGGAACGAAATATCATTTTGTCAGGGCAACATATGTCTTGCTGAACGGAAACCAAAATGATAAGTATATTTTTAGAACATTTACATGTGAAAAGGGGAACCGAAAATCCGTGTGACGTTATTCAGATGTGTCAGTGTGCCGGGCTTATTCTGTCATCGCTGTAGCTGATGAAGGCGCGTGACTTCTGTTTTGAGTGTTTTATCTGGAGCCATAATGTCGGACGCTCAGAGGTCTCTGCCCCCCCTGTTGAAGCTCAGCTATGCGGTGGGACACGTTCTGAACGACCTGTGCGCCTCCATGTGGTTCACATACCTGCTGGTGTTCTACCACTCAGTGCTGGGCTTCCAGAACACATATGCAGGTAAAGTGTGTGTGTGTGTGTGTGTGTGTGTGTGTGTGTGTGTGTGTGTGTGTGTGTGTGTGTGTGTGTGTGTGTGTGTGTGTGTGTGTGTGTGTGTGTGTGTGTGTGTGTGTGTGTGTGTGTGTGTGTGTGTGTGTGTGTGTGTGTGTGTGTGTGTGTGTGTGTGTGTGTGTGTGTGTGTGTGTGTGTGTGTGTGTGTGTGTGTGTGTGTGTGTGTGTGTGTGTGTGTGTGTGTGTGTGTGTGTGTGTGTGTGTGTGTGTGTGTGTGTGTGTGTGTGTGTGTGTGAAAAATGAAAAGAAAGAAAATGCTGATATTTGGCAAAAAAAGTGTGTCTTATCATTAGTGGCTGCAATGAGCCTGTTTTGCACTGCACATTTCTTCAAAACGGGGTTGCAGGCTCAGTGGCGGCGCCAGAGATTTCTTTTGGGGGTGCTGTGGGGTAGCTTGACGTTTCATAGAGGGTGCTCAAACATGTAGGGTTTCCCATTAAGGTACCGGGCGCTACAGTGGAATTTTCTACTGCAACACTCCCCACGCACATACAGTGTACCCGCGAGAGTTACAATGAAGGCTCGATAATCAGCTCACGGCATATAGGTGTAAGCAGGGGTAAAGTGCTATTTTTATAGGTGGTGTGTCTAGGGGGGTCCGGGGGCATGCTCCCCTGGGAAGATTTGTTTTTTAAATATTGAAGTTAAAAGCATCAATCTGGTGCACTTTGAGAGCAACATGAAGAGATCTATGGATACATCTCTCAACACCCATATGAAACAGAACTGTAAACAGATTTATTATTTCTTTATGGATATTTTACAAATCACTCCCCTTTTAAACTTTATTATTTTTTTTACTGTCATATCCTCCTGGGACCCAAGGAAATAAAGTGTCTTCCAATTTCCTTTTTTTTGTGATTTCCTACCTATTTAGGGTTAAAAAAACATCTTGCAATTTAGACTTTTTTAATTTAATTCAATTTTTAAATGTTACAGTATGTCCACTGTAGAGGACGTCGGGAACATGTCAGCCAAAATTAACAGATAGACTACGTCACGTATTATGGTTATAGAGTGATATTAATAAAAGAATACATTCACCTTTATTTAAAACATAAATAGGTAATTGATCTGAACATTGCTGTTTATTTGGTCACTAAAAAACTAATTTGGTTTTTGGTGAATCTTTCCAGATCTTCAAAGACTTTGTAGTCATTACACTGGGAAAGTACCTTGCCCCTTTCACACCAACGCGTTTTCAGCGCCGGCTTGGAGCTAGAGCCTGAAAAGTACCGGTTTTTCCTGTTCACACCGCAGCGGCGCCGCCTCTTAGCTCCGGAATCCGGTTCACTTCCAGCTCCAAAAAATTGTTGGTCTAGAAGCAAGAGCTTCGGAGCTAAGAGGCGGCGTCGCTTACGTCTCTCTAATGCTGCGTTCACACCGGACGCGATGCGAATATTCGCTTCGCTCTAATGCTGCGTTCACACCGGACGCGATGCGATGTTTGGGGGCGGCGCGATTACATGTAAAGTCAATGCAGAGATGCGGACAGACGCGAATTCGCTCCGACGGCGCGCATGAAGCGGTGGACGCGGCGCGAATCACGCAATTGAGGCGATTGAACGGTGCCGCATTAAACGCGAGAGTTCAATTTTTTCAACTCGAGCGTCAAATTCACGTGACGCGTTCTTGCGGACAAACCACAGACTGTCTGTGTCATGGCGAATACAGTCGCTGGTTTATTTATGTCTGTAGGCCGTTGTTATGAGTGTGGAATGAGCATATACAACGTTAGCTTAGCCTGGTCGACCCGATCTTCATTCAGAAAACAAGCGTTTTAAAAGATTTTTCGCCTGCCGTCTTGTCTGCAGACTTGTCAAGCATTAATTCATGGTTTTTACTAACCGGTATCAGTATGTTGTTACTTCGGCATCATTTAGAAACGTGTATTACAATTGAATCACGGTAAAATATGTTCATTTTGTTGTAGTTGTAGCTCCCGAGCCAGCGCGTCCTGTTTGAATGATGCGAGTAAACACAGCTGGCAGCCGCGGTGAAACTCGAGCGTTTAGAGCGATGTGATAGGAGCGATTAGAGCGAAGCGAATATTCACATCGCGTCCGGTGTGAACGCAGCATAATCGCTCCTATCGCATTGCTCTAAACGCTCGAGTTTCACCGCGGCTGCCAGCTGTGTTTACTCGCATCATTCAAACAAGACGCGCTGGCTCGGGAGCTACAACTACAACAACATGAACATATTTTACCGTGATTCAATTGTAATACACGTTTCAAAATGATGCCGAAGTAACAACATACTGATACCGGTTAGTAAAAACCATGAATTAATGCTTTGACAAGTCTGCAGACAGACGGCAGGCGAAAAAACCTTTTAAAATGCTTGTTTTCTGAATGAAGATCGGGTCGACCAGGCTAAGCTAACGTTGTATATGCTCATTCCACACTCATAACAACGGCCTACAGACCTAAATAAAGCAGCGACTGTATTCGCCATGACACAGACAGTCTGTGGTTTGTACTTGTTTAACTTTTGTCCAGTTTCTGAACAGATATGAGGAGCTGTGAGCTCTGTGTGCTAACTGCTAACAGCTAACGGTTGATGTTGTGTGGTTGAATGTCAGTGACGCCAGGCTGAGATCCTCACCGCTGATTGGCTTCCGCGAGAACGCGTCACGTGAATTTGACGCTCAAGTTGAAAAAATTGAACTCTCGCGTTTAAAGCGGCACCGTTCAATCGCCTCAATCGCGTGATTCACGCCGCGTCCACCGCTTCATGCTCGCCGTCGGAGTGAATTCGCGTCTGTCCGCGTCTCTGCATTGACTTTACATGTAATCGCGCCGCCCCCAAACATCGCATCGCATCCGGTGTGAACGCAGCATTACCTCGAGGCGTGCAGGAAACTAAACCCACCTCCCCACTTAAGGGGAACTGGGGATATGTATCAGCTGCTTGTGTGACAGTCAGACAGTGAATACTTTAGAGCCGTGTGAGCTAACCCGGAGCTAACGGGAGAATAAACTCCCGTGGAAGAGCAGCCAGCACTGCAGCGGTCGGTAAATGCCGCTGAAACACATTAATAAACAATGAACCACGGCACTCTGGAGAAAAGTATAAGGTTTGAGAAGTCGTTATTTAATTTAATCTGGCTTCGTATGATTAAAAGCAACACGATCATCGACCCGACGCAGTCCCCCGTTGTTGTTGTTGTTGTTGTTGTGAGCGCCGTTGGGGAGCAAATCAGCGATGTAAACGGTGACGTCATGACGCAGCAGCGGCAGCACCATCCCGGCTTGAGTGGTGTGAACAGAGCGGGAGCAGAAAAGGGAAACCGGAGCTGAACCAGAAAAGCTCTAGCTCGGAGCTAGAAAGGGAAAAGCGCTGGTGTGAAAGCCGCAATTGACTCGTCGGCACGGGCTGTAGGGTCATCTTGACTAGTTTTATGGATGTGGTCTCCATTTGACCATGCTCATAGAAACAAACTTGGCATTCCTGAGGCAATTCTCATTTTTCATGGCTCCACTTAAAATAAAAACAACAATAAGACATACGTGCTACTCTTGGCCCACAGGGGGCCATGTCTTTCCAGCTCGTCCCTATCTGTCTCTATGTCTGTATCTGTGCGCTCATGGAGCCTCCTGCATCTTTTCCCCCCTTCTTCTTGACCCTCTTCTATCCCAGGTGTGAAAGCCTCATCTCTCTCATCATCTGAGAGCTCAAAATCTGAATCTCCCTTAACTATCTGGTACAGAAAATGTCTGCTTCAGTTCCTTCAGTCTCCTGCAACAATATTGAGTCAAGTCCATGAAGATGGTTCTGACGTCCACTAGAATGGACATTTAGAAAATAGCTGTTATTTCAAAACTTGAATTATTTAATTGCTTTCAGAACTAATTATATAGTTCCTCACATGTTAATGAACAAGAACATATATGATTTTCATGGTAAAAAATACAATTATTCAACAATATTTTGGCGCGTTTCCACTACACGGCCTCGCTCGGTATGGCTAGGCCTCGTTAGGACTGGCTCACTTTATGGCGCATTTCCATTACAGTTTAGGAACTGGGGTAGTATCTATAGTAACGCAGTGTAGGCGGAGCCGTGACGTCATCTTCAATGAGAACTCCAGAAACACAACACAGCCGTTAGCTGTTAGCACTCAGAGCTCACAGCTCCTCATATGTTCAGAAACTAGACAAAAGTTAAACAAGTACAAACCACAGACTGTCTGTGTCATGGTGAATACAGTCGCTGCTTTATTTATGTCTGTATAGGCCGTTGTTGTGAGTGTGGACGGTCAGAGCATATACTGCGTTAGCTTAGCCGATCTCCATTTAGAAAACACGCATTTTAAAAGGTTTTTCGCCTGCCGTCTGTCTGCAGACTTGTCAAAGCATTAATTCATGGTTTTTACTAACCGGTATCAGTATGTTGTTACTTCGGCATCATTTTGAAACGTGTATTACAATTAAATCACGGTCAAATATGTCCATCTTGTTGTAGTTGTAGCCCCCTTGCCAGCGATTCTCTCTCTAGTTTAGCATACTCAGCCCGACTCAGCCTCGTTGTCTCTGGCCCTAGACCCACGATTTTATGAGGCCAGAAAAACTGTGAATTAGGACCCGCCGGCCGGTACTAGGCCAAGTGGAAACGCAACCAAAAACGAGCCGCTGACGTCACAGCCCTCTTAAACCGTGCTCCGCGCTGTAGTGGAAACGCGCCATTTGACTTCTCCTGCTGCTATAAAATGTTGTTTTTGGTATGCCAGCCATTTTGAATTAAAAGAAAGAGGAACTTCCCAGCATGCAATTGTAACCAATGACATATCACTGGAAAGACCAGGATGTCCTCTGTACAGTACATCAGAGATTGATAGAGTAGCTCAAAAGAGTAAAAGGAGATGCATGTTAACAAAATGTCCACTACAGTGGACATTTTCAATGGGCTGGGTCCCAGGAGGATAAAGTATTTCATACCTGTTTTTCATTTATTCTCTTATTTTTTTATAACTATAATGATCATATAAATGTGTGCCTCGGAAATAATTGTTTACATTAATCGTGACCAAACCGTTTGAGACCCACTGAGATAACTTAGACTAAAGTTAACTATCTAAACACTCAGAGAGTCCTTTAGCTCACTGAGCCTCTCAGTCTGACAGGAGAGGACTCTCCTCCACTTTGTTGTTGAAAAAGCTCCTTATATCCGTTAGCGTAGCTCGCTAGCACCAGAAGCTAACAACAACGATCTCCGGTACCGGTACGCTCTCTCTCTCTCTCTCTCGCTCGCACACAAAATGGCTCGTTCCACACACACACAGAGCCGAGCTTCAATGAAACACAGAGACCCAGACGTACTTGTACTGTACTGTATCATATTATTTTCGAATCAATAATTTTCCAAATTATGATTTAAAAAAAAAAAAAATAAAAGATTTCCATAACCATTTTTCCTGCTGGTCTCTCGCGCCCCCCCTGACATGCCTCTGCGCCCCCCCACTTTGAGAAACACTGCTCTACTGTGACATGTCTCCATGCTTTAATGCTCAAAAAGCTCTTTATTTTTCTCATACTGCCTGTGCTGCAGCACCTCTTTTCACCCTCTGTCTGAAACCAGAGCCCAGTCTGCTCTGATTGGTTAGCTGGCCGGCTCTGTTGTGATTGGTCAACCGCTTAGAGATGTCCAGCCCCTTAGCCTATCACGGACAATGTGTTGGAGCGCTAGCCAATAGAAGCGTAAGTTTTACATAGTGGTGCCTATGTGTGTGGGATAGAAACTCCCTCTGGAGGGAACACAGGGATTTATTATCCTTTGCAGACCATTTACATGCACACAAACCTATAGAACACACTACAGGAAAGGAAAACCCAAAAAAGCATAACAGGGGCTCTTTAAAAATCTGTCATGTTCTATCCACATATACACATATACGTGATATTAAGATTTTATTCCTTTTTATATCTTTTTTTAGAATAATATCCTACAGTGAGTGTTTTTCCTGTCTTGCAGTGTTCCTCCCGGTCTGACGCACACACTGATTATTATTGTGTTGTATATGTCCCTGTGGTGTAGGTGTGCTGCTGCTGGTTGGACAGATAGCTGATGGCATCTGCACGCCTCTCATTGGTTACGAGTCTGACCGAACCCCCGGCTGTGGAAACTACGGCAAAAGGAAGACATGGCATTTAGTTGGTGAGTCACACACATTTCCAAAAACACTATACACTGTCTACTCCTTATACCTCAAACCCTCTTTTATACCTACCTTGATGGTCTCTATACATTTAGATTGGTAGCCCCAGCATGTCTACCCCACCTTCTTCCCCACCCTTCTCTTTACCTTTCCCATCAATTGTATTGCACATACTTTTTTCATTCTGTTGCCATTAGGAATTCAAATGATTTATATATGTACGCCATTCCTATTTATTCCCTTCTCAGAAATGATTTACCCTCAAACAGTGAAGTGTAAACTCAGTGAGTTTGTGATCCACATACAGCTGTCTTTTACCAGTGGTGGAAGAAGTACTCAGATATCTTACTCAAGTAAAAGTAGCAATATCACATTTTATATACAGTGCATCCGGAAAGTATTCATACCCCTTCACTTTTTTCACATTTTGTTATGTTACAGCCTTATTTCAAAATGTATTAAATTCATTTTGTTTCTCAATATTCCACACATAATACCCCATAATGACAAAGTGAAAACGTTTTTAAAGAACTTTTTGCAAACGTGTTAAAAATAATCAGTATTCACACCCTTTGCTTTGACACTGAATATTGAGCTCAAGTGCATCCCGTTTCCACTGATCATCCTTGAGATGTTTCTATAACTTGATTGGAGTCCACCTGTAGTAAATTAAATTGATTGGACATGACTTGGAAAGGAACACACCTGTCTATATGAGGTCCCACAGTTGAAAGTGCACATCAGAGCACAAACCAAGTCATGAGGTCCAAGGAATTGTCTGTAGACCTCAGAGACAGGATTGTATCAAGGCACAGATCTGGGGAAGGGTACAGAAAAATGTCTGCAGCATTGAAGGTCCCAACGAGCACAGTGGTCTCCATCATTTGCAAATTGAAGATGTTTGAAACCACCAGGGCTCTTCCTAGAGCCCAAACCAAACTGAGCAATGGGGGAGAAGGGCCTTAGTCAGAGAGGTGACCAACAACCCGATGGTCACTCTGACAGAGCTCCTCTGTGGAGATGGGAGAACCTTCTAGAAGGACAACCATCTGTGCAGCACTCCACCAATCAGGCTTTTATGGTAGAGTGGCCAGAAGGAAGCCACTCCTCAGCAAAAGGCACATGAAAGCCCACATGGAGCACCTAGAGTACTCTCAGCCAATAGGCGCATTCACACCGCAGTACTTTTCCCACAAAGGTTCATCAGAACTCTTTAGTTCTCATGAACTGAGTAAAAAAGAGCTTCAATAGGCTGCAGACAGTAATGAGGTGACAGAGATGGACACAGACGGTGAGGGGGATTCTGACTGTGTTTCAGTTGCAGATAGTCTCTCTCAGAACGCAGAGATATATTCTTTGGAAGAGATTAATGCCTTTTTAGATGAGTCTTTTGGCAAGGCAGTGGAAGTGAGAGACTTTTTCCCTGACACTAACAAGTTTCTTCATACAGTGAGCACTCTTCAGAAAGTTGTAGGGTTAGACCTGCTGGATGAAAAGAAACGCTATCGTCTCAGGAAGCATGTAACTGCTATGAGAAAAGGTACGAAAGAAAGCAAAAGAGGGAAGAAACTGAAAATGTCTAAATAATTTCAACATGATCATGCAACACTGGGTGTCTCCTCTCTGCTGTGTGTACCTGTCTGTTCTTTTTCTCTGTCTCCTTCCTCTAATGCAGGGTTTCCCAACCAGTCGATCACGAGATGTGTCTAAAAATAGAACAACAATATTCTGTTTTATCGTTAATGTCCTATAACATAATCTTCCTGTGCCAGAATAATGCACTTGAACGCATCAAAGCTTTGTGATTGGCCGGCGTGACCCCATGTGTCGGGGCGTGGCTGGTGTGCAGTGGGCTGGGCACTATTTCGCTGACTGTCCGTGTCAACAGGAGTGACAGTCCGCACACACACAAGACCGCAATTATGGCAGAAGCAAAAAAGCCCAAAATATATAATTTTCACTCTGAGTGGGAGGATGATTATTTTTGTATCTATTCCAATTCAAAGTCTATCTGTCTCATCTGCAATGCGAGCGTGGCTTTATCGAAGAAGGGTAATTTAGGAGCGGCATTTCAAAACAGTGCACAAACGCTACGAGACGGAATTCCCTCCTAACTCTGCCCTACGCTCCCAAAAGGTGAGGGACCTGAAAGGACAGCTAAATGCACAGCAGTCACTTTTCACCAGGCCCAACAACAAGAGCAAGGCTGCTACCATAGCATCTTATCGTGTCAGTCACATTCTTGCGAAACACATGAAGTCTTTCAAAGACGGCAAAGTTGTGAAAGAAGCATTCCTGGAGGCTGCCGACGCGCTTTTTGGGGACAGTAAAAATAACAGTAGCATTTCAACAGGGTTTTGATATAATAAAAACTCAAGTTAGATACCGTTATTAATCAGCTATAAGTTTTAGTTTGTTCGAACTTATTCATTATAATTATTGTACAAAATGGTATAAGAATGCAAACTTAAATTGAGTATAGTCTATTATCAATTCAGGTTAAGAAACTAGTGTTGCTTGCATCCTATTTTAAAGGCATTTCTTTTTATACTCTACTAAAATGCAACAAAAAAAATGGTTTGATTCTATTAATTTAGTCTTTTTTATTGCACTCTGGCAGCAGATTCCTGTGTAGCTTCAGATCTGAGTTGTCTTATTAGTAAGCCTAATTTATACTTTTGTAGCAACACTATTTTTATATAATGGCAAAGAAAGGGTTCAGAGTCTTTTCTTTTTTTCCTCTGTCATATGTGGCAGCACTGTTCAATGTTTCTTGAAAACATTACCCACTGTAGTATGTGACGTGTGAATAAACTCCAACTCTGTATCAACAACACTGTTGTGTAACTTCAGTTAAATACTTGTGTGTGTGTAGATTAGAAAGTATTTTATGAAGTATTAATCGTACAAAGGTCAGTTTTATACAAGTAGAAGTGTGTATTTACCTGGTAGTAGGCTGTCAGTAAGGGCTACGCCTCTCTATTTGGACTGGTAGATCTCGGCAGACTGGCAACTTTAAAAGTAGCTCTCGGTTAAAAAAAGGTTGGGCACCCCTGCTCTAATGCAGGCTTTAAGGGTTGCTTCTTTAAACATTAACGGGGGTAGAAGTGCACAGAAAAGAGCTTTAGTGTTAGAGGTCTTTAATCAGAAAAAATGAGATGTGATATTTCTGCAGGAAACGCACAGTGATAGCCTGAATGAGACGGACTGGGGGATGTGGTGGGGGGGTCTGTATGTACTCAGTCATGGCTCAAACCTTAGTGCTGGAGTAGCTGTTTTTTTCTCCCCCTCTTTAAATGTTAAGATGTGATCCAGCACAGAGATAGTGGCAGGTAGAGCCTTGATGGTGAAAGTGGAACTGTTAGAGTTCTTTTTCACTTTTATTAATGTTTATGCACCCAATCAGGGCCCTGCACGTGTATCTGTGTTTCAGTTATTACAAGACAAGCTAGACACTAGTGTACAGCGGGAGTGTGTTATACTGGGGGGGGACTGGAACGTTTGCACTAATGTCACTTTAGACAGAATAGGACGGGAGCCGCATCCTCAGTCGTCCCTTTTACTGTCACAGGTGATAAGAGAGGCTGACTGGATGTGTGGAGGATGAAACACCCCTCTGTTAAACAATACACCTGGATGAGAATGCTAGATGGGGGCGTCAGTCTGCTTCTTTTATTACTCGTGCAGTGAACTGTCACATCCAACCTTTTGGTTTTACAGATGATCAGCTAGTTGCTTTAGATTTGGTTTTATCCAACACAGAGAAACCTAGATCGTTCTGGCAGTTTAATGTTCACATTTTACAAGATTTGATTTTCTGTGAGAATTTTAAATTGTTTTGGATCAACTGGAAATCAAAGAAAGAGTCTTTTCCCTCCCTGAGTCAGTGGTGGGAGGTAGGAAAGGCTCAGATTAGAGTGTTCTGCCAACAGTATACAGCCTACTCCACTGCCAACATTAGGAGGGCTATAGAGCACTTAGAGAGGGAGATCAGAGAGGTAGAGAGTGTGTCTGCTCGAAATATAGAACAGTCCCTCCTAAAGCAACAACAGCTTAACTGTTTTCTTCAGGAGAAAGCCAAGGGAGCTCTGATCAGAGCCCGTTTTACTTCCATGAGAGACATTGATGCACCAACCACCTTTTTCTTCAACCTGGAGAGGTCTGTGGGCCAAAGGAAGCAGATGGTATGTCTGCGTCTCCCCGATGGACAGGTAACCTCTGAACCTGCTGAGATGAGGAGGCATGCAGTGTCCTTCTACACGGACCTGTTCAAAGCCGAAGGTTGTGATGTGGAAGCTGCTAATGAACTTCTTCAGGGTCTTCCACAGCTAAGTCCAGCCGAAAGTGACACCCTGGGCTCTGACATTACGCTGGAGGAACTGACCTCTGCGGTGACACAGATGGCCTCCGGCAAGGCTCCGGGCATAGACGGTTTACCTGCAGACTTTTTTAAACATTTCTGGAGTATTTTAGGAAATGACTTGCTAGACGTATTGATGGAGTCCTTTGGGAAAGGGACTCTTCCAGCTTCCTGTAGGCGTGCAGTGATTTCACTGTTGCCTAAGAAAGGAGATTTAACCCTGCTGAAGAATTGGAGACCTGTGGCTCTCTTATGTACGGACTATAAGATACTGTCAAAGGTTTTAGCTAACAGACTGAAGTGTTTTATCAAACTTCTTATTGGTAGAGATCAGACATATTGCATCCCTGGCAGATCAATCGTGGACAATTTGTTTTTGATGAGAGACACTTTTGATGTTTGCAAACTGTATAATATAAATGTTGGTATTATTTTGATCGTGTGGATCACACTTTTCTGGCTGCCACTTTGCAGGCTTTTGGTGTTGGGGAGCATTTTTTTTTCCTGGGTGAAGTGTTTGTTGTGTTGTGAAGGTGGGGGAGGGCTGAGCAGACCTGTACCAGTTAAAAGGGGGATCAGGCAGGGCTGCCCTATCTCAGGCCTATTATATAGTATTGCCATCGAGCCCCTTTTGTGCAG